CAATTGTATTCATTCTACAAGGCCAGTTCCAGACCTGCCTCTTTCACAAGATCCAGCCACGTCATCCCATTCATGAGCCTTCTCCCCAAAATACCACAATTGTAATCCACTGCCTCATGTTGACGGCTAATGTTAAGACCTAGTACCTTCTTTAGATTATAAACTCCTTGATGTCAAGGTCCCTGGATTCTTCTTTTTAACTCCCCAAACATGGATATAGGCAGATTTTTGACAGAACATGTTTTCCAAAGCCCACAGAACTCCAGGTTGATTTAAAAACTGATGGAAAGACTAAAGATGCGTAGTGAGATGGCAGAAGCCCATTCCTGAGATCTCAGAGAATTTTTCATTTGTCAAGACTAATTTCAGCTGACCTCCCTGGTGGCCTAGGGGTTAAGTCTCAGTGCTATCACCTCAACAGCCCAAGTTCAATCCCTGGCTAGGCAAGTAAACCATATATGGCTCAGCAAACCACTCCTGTCTTGCCTGCTGCTCCCCTCAGCAGTGTATTTCAATAAATCTGCCTGCTTTGCTATCCACTCTCTCTCTGGTGAATCCTTTCACCCTTCCACACCTCTGGCCTTTATCCCAGTTCATCTACACAAAAATAAAAAAAAAAAAAAAAAAAAAAAAAGAAAAAAAAAAAGACTAATTTCAACTTCCAACTTTTACACTGACCTGCCTTCAAATCCCTACCTCCTCAAATCCCCTAGTCCCAGCTCTGAACTATAGACACTACAATAAATAGAAGTAGTTTCAGGGTCTCCCCAGTGGTGCAGCGGGTTGAGTGCAGCACTGTGAAGCTGCCCGCAGTCTCTGCAGTGTGGGTTGGATCCAGCCAGCCGGTGAGAATCCCACATGGTACAGCAGAGCTCTCCTGTTGTGCTCCCATTAGCAGTGTATTTCGTCAGTCTGCCTGTTCTGTTCCCCGCTCTGACTGGTGAATCCTCTCACCAGAGAGGATTCTGGTGGCACCTCTGGCCTGTACCCCAGCTCTTGTATAAAAATAAATAAATCTTAAAAAAAAAAAGTAGTTTCAGAGAAGGATCTGAGGTAGGTACTTATTTGAACAGGTATTGACTATGTATCAATTGTGGAGGACAGACTTTAATAATGAGGCTAAGACACATTTAATGTTATCTTCACGCTGTACCTGCATTAAGCATTTTAACTCACTGTTATCCTCATAACAGTAATATGATGGTTGTACTCTCTCCACTCCCATTTTACAATGTGGTAGAGTTAAGGAATTGTAAATTCTTTCTGCTCTTCTTATTGAGAAGTAAATTTCATATCTTCTTTCTTGAAAATTACAAAGTTCTGCTCTTTTGACCCATAGAATCTGGTGGAAGTGACACTGTGCCAGTTTCCAGGCCCAGACTATTGAAAACTGGCAGACTCCACCTCCTGTCTCTTGAAAAACTCTCCATGAGTCCTGAGCCTCCAAGAAAGAAGTCCAAGCAGCTACTCTGCTGGAGAAACCTATAGAGAGTCCTGGAGATTAAATGGAGTGGAAAATAGACTCGGTCGAATTCAGTGTTTTCAGTTAATCTACTAAAGTACAAGGTATGTGAATGAAGTAGGAGTCTCTAGACCAGACACTGAGTAACCACAATCAACTCTGTGTGGTGCAGAACAATTGTCTTACTGACCCCTGCCCAAATTTCTGGCCTACTAAATTGTGAAAGGAAATGACATGACTGTTGCATTAAGCCACTAAGTTTAATGGGCAGTCATTAACTTGGACGTATGTGACTTGTGCAGCATCACATAGCTTATATGAGAAAGAACTAGGTCCTAAACCCAGGCAGTCTGACTCCAAATACATGCCTTTAATAAAGCTATCCTCTTAACACTGAAAAAAAAAAATTGTCCCAGGCACACTGATCATTCTGAAGAGAAAATTTTCTGAAAGTCACATTCATTCTAGTTGTTAAATGAATATAAGACATGCAATAAAGCCTATCTTGTTTTCTGATTTATTCAATAAGTATTTTCAAGTACCTACTAAATGCCAAAACTTTACTTGAGAATTACCACCCAATACCTACTTTCTCAGTCTTAGATCTCCTTCCCAGTTTAGGGTAAAGATGATCGGTGCCAAAGGTGTGAATAAAATAACAAGGGCTGAGTAGTTCTGTAAAAAAGATTGTACCAGGAAGATCAAAGTATTAATTATTCTAGGAGGATGGAGCATGGGGAACTATATCAAGTCAAAAACTGTGTTCACATTCATACAGAGGAAAGAGCAGGACTAAAAAAATAAAAATAAATTAAAAAAAAAGTGGCAGTGTTTTTTTCCTTGATCTGAAATCAGCACTAACAAGGTCTACCAGAAATGAGCTGCTCAAATCATGTTTTCTTAGTTTATGCTTTCAGAAGGAGACAGTAGATTTTTAAATTGGGGCAGATTTGTATACTTGTGGATTTCTATGCTTACTTGGTTTCTCCTAGAAAAATCTAATTTTAGGACAATCTGCTCTCACAATGTTACAAAACAAAGGTGGACAGAACAGAGTAACATTTGGAAAAGACTAAAAGATTCTATGCATTGGTAAAAAAGTGAACAGTGGTGGTTCTGGTGAACATGAAGTCAAGTCTCTCCCACTATTTTTTCCCTTTTTATAATATCTCCCAACATCCCGGGGATCAAACCTTTATGATTTTGCTTCAACCATGAGACTGAGATAGCTCACATAGCTTATATTAGAGCTTCTGATTAATCTTCCTTACCCCACATCTTCAGACTTTAGGAACTGTCCTAAATCTTGGACAGAATCTGAGAGTTGTTGCATCCACAGTCCTACCAAAGCCCTCAAATGATGAATACAATGTACTTAGAGACAAGGCAGGCTATTAAGTTTTATGATATTTAGGACATAGTTCAATGGTAAGTTGGCAATCAACAAAAACTCAAGACCTGTAGCATCAAATTATTTTCTCTACTTAATTTTTACAAAGAACATGGCACAAAATTTGTACACCTTATCTCAGTATGACCCAATTTTTCTAGTAGCCTGGCTTTCCTCCAAAGCTATGTATTTATGCACCTTTAAACAAAGAATGCCGACAGATTTGTAATTCATTTTTATTGCCTTGGTAGAAGCAAAGGAAGCACATGTAGATATAATCCAATTATTACTGATCTTGAAGGAAAAGAAACACAACAGACAGGAGGCTATTAGTGAGAATATCCTCCAGCTGTCCACATCCTCTAAAATGCCAACAGCTTCTGTGACAGTTATAGTGATAATCACTGCAAGACTTCTGTATCTTGCAACCTACTCTTCTCCAGAAGCTCTAGCTTCTTAGTTGGAAGACTCATTCAATCTGCCCTCGCTTATGTATTTGCTATAGGAGGGAAAGCTAAAACCTGATAATTCACCACACTTATTCCTTCAATTTCTGGGTTACACTAAACCCTCCTGGGGTCCATGGAAATTTGGTCTTGAAAAAGAGTATAGGACCAAGCATTCCTGTGGAGAAAAAGCCATTCGCTCCTCTGCTTTCCACAGAATTAGAGGAATGTATTTTGACAGAAACAGAACAACTCTGCCAAGACCATTGCAGGCAGAACTATCCTTTCACCAACAATAAACAGATCTGCTCTTGAGCTATAGAGAGTCATAATAGAAATATATATTGCCTTTTATCTTCTTTTCAGTGAGTAGAGAGAACTGTCAGGAGTTATTGCTTTAATATCAGCAGAGAAAAAGCTATTTTTGAGCATGTGTGTAGGTATGCATGTAATAGCATGTGGTGACTTTAAGATTGCTATGCTAACCAGGTTCTTAATAGTCTTTCTAAAACACATAAAATTTGTCTGATAACATTATCAGTGTACACAGCTTCAAATTGTTTCTGCCGAGGTCATGGAAGGAACTGCCTGGATACTTCTGCTCAAAGAAAAGGAAAAAGAAAGAGAACATATTTACCTCTACCTCATTCATATAAACTAATTCAGAAGAATGAGAACATGGGGGTTTAATTGATAATTGATCTAAGTTGATAATGCCCATTGAAATCAATGGCAGAATGATGCCAAACTCTCAGTTGAGCCCTGGATATGTATGAAAACTTAGAAACAGAAAGATCAAATACAGATATACTGAATCTTCTACAAATACTAACTAGGTTAGGGGTAATTTTCCCACAAGCACATGAAATATCTTATTTTATGCTAGAGAATTTAAGGCTAATAACTCTATTAACCTTCTACCCCCTACTAACTAGATTTATGAAATGCCATGAGAATCAGCAAAGTATGAAGCGTTAGATTGGGTATAATTACTTTTAAGTGAAAAAAAGAAAAAAAAACATTACCACTAAACTAAGGACTTCCTGCATAGCTAAACTCAGACTTTCAAATGTTCTAATGTAATTAGGATCTTGTCAAATACAAAAGAAGCAAACTGGACAAAAAGTAACAAGCTATTAATCAAAACTTAATATCAAACACAAAGACTACATTTTATAAGGATTAGCTGAACCTCTAGCTTCAATTGTCATTGATTTAATAATGTTACCCATTAGCCTCAATAAAAATGAACCATTCATGTTCCAGTAAAGCCACTGGGAGAACGGGAATAGAAATGAACTAGAATATAGTCTTTCCTATGACAGCAATTTTCTTTTCCCGCTTTTCCTTTCGGCTATTGAAAAAAAAAAAAAAGAGCTAATAAGATGAAAGTAGGGAATATTTCATAATGAAACTATTGTTCATTGATCATTTTGAATAACATTTCAGAGATAAATATGATAGGTCTAACTCATGATAAATAATCACTAGTGCCACAAGATTTTTATAACTTCTTTAGCAATGGCTTTATCTTTCTCTCCTCTTGGGTCTTCTTACTGTGAGTATCCATAGGCATCAGTTCTACAAGTCTTCTCGTGTATGTGCTACACCTTACAAGTCAGACTCTTTAGTAACACGGCTACACTGTCCATGATAGCAATGTCCCAAAGTAGAAGCAGTAAATATGTGGAGGAAGGCTTACCTGAATGCTGGCTGTAGAGCGATTCTTGCGGGTTGTAGTAGTAGCCATTGTAGTGGTGGTTTCCATGACAGTGGTAGACATTTCTGGTGGCATGGAGGTCGTCTGTGTCGTTCCCAAGATTGATGGGACTTCTCCCACCAGCCGGACACTTCCATTGATTTTAATATTGGGATTGTTCTCAGCCGCCATATTCAGTACTTTCAAACCATCATAATAGAGCCCAGAGAGCTGGCCTTGAAAGAGGCGTCCTTTGTCCTTTCCACCAATGGCTATTTGCGCCTGGGTGTTGAAGATGGTTAACTGCCGGCCTAGTGGATTGGGTGGAGGAAACATCATTATTCCCATACATTTTCTCTTTTGGCATACCTGGTTTGAATGGACCAGGCATCAAAACAGGCTTCCTTGAGCAATTGAAGGAGAGAAAATTGGATTAAAATAACTCAATACCATCACTGGCAAGTAACATTTCATTAAGTTTATCTCTTCCACTGTCTAGCTGAAAACCCTAATCAAGTCCCTATTCCTTTTTTTGTAAAAAAGGAGAAATCTTGGTTAAATGATTAACACTATCACAGTCTTCTTGGGTGTATAGTTGTGAATGACAGAAAGAAACCACCAAATGAGGTGATGATCATGAAACTCATAAATGTCTATTGCACTGATTTTTTAACCTACAAAGGTAGAGTGATAAGTAAAAAGAATTATATATGGCAAGTAAAAACTCAATGAGGTGATTCAGAACATCAGAATTAAAAAGAAACTAGGTCTTATTATTAAATTAATTGAAATTAAATTGCAGTTATGAGATTTGGATTCATTGCATACTTATAATAATGAACATTTTAGTTACCAAGCACCTCATCTGCTAGAAATCTCCACAGTATATAACATTCAATCTATACTTTCTATTGAATAAACATTGTGACAATTAATTTTCTATTGCTATTCTGGTGGGGGGAGGGTAATGGTCATAAAATACAAACTCTCCCTAAGATATGAAAAATAAGTAGGCATTAATAAAGTTTCTCAGCTGGGGAAAGAAAATGGTGTCATTCCCAATCATTGACTCTTAAAAGGGGGGATGCAAATTAATGAAGAAAGTAAAACAAAATTACTTAAAATAATATAGCAGTATGCTAATGGGTTGAAGAATATCAGTAGCTCACCTAATTTTGAATTACCATTTGGGTAATAATTTATGTTTCTGTGGATAGAAATCTATCATAAGGTTAACCAAGGCAGCATAGAGTTTAGAATAGTGGATCTCATCTTATCCTAACTACTTCTATTTAAAAACTCTTTCTTAAGTGCTAGATCTTCCAAGAAAAAAACAGCTTTTTAAAGCTAAGATCTCCTATTTATACTATTGTGTTTTCAGATTATTTCTTTCTGCTATTTCATATGGAGAAGGTGGAAAACTTATTAATGGAATTAAATGTATCCTTATTGAACTTTTTCCACTTTTAGTAATGATAAAACAATGCTTCACACATTCTTAATCTATGCCTGATTTAGCTATAATACTGGAAAAAAATCTTCTGTTACAGAGAGTACTGTATATTTTTTAAAGGCTGAGTTTTTTGCTCCACACTCTCTAATATGAATAGAGGCACACTATGATGTCTGGGTTATTAACTTGTACAATTATTATATGGCATTTAAGGCTATACAGTGATTATTCTTGAATTTCCAGTATATAATATGAATACCATCTCAAGGTATAATAACAGAAGAAATAGAAGAGACAGAGAAAGGAAAATGCATCTGCTCAGAGGGAACTGTTACACAAGAGTCAACTCTGCTCTTGGGCAACACTTAAGGGTCTATTAGTCAAAATGTATAAATAACAGCCCTCTGGAAGCTTCAAATACTATGATAAGGAGAGTTGAATAGAGAGTTTTGCTGTAGTGAAAATGATCACTCTATAAAAATATTTGGAGCATGGAAATGGAATCTGCTGGCCTTAATGATAACAGAATTGCCCAGATCTCAAAGGTGCAATCAAATTAGATCTAACAGATTTCCACATTTTCCCACCAATTCCTTTAGTGACACATGCACATGCATTGTTGCTTGTACTTTGGGCTCTCCTTTTTTACACAAATTACAGCAAAAATTTCAATACAGAATAACACTGGGTAATGTCCTGGAGCTTTTACCTGTTTACTGTTTAATTTTTGACAGTGGCTTTTTCTGGGAGCCCTAAACATACTGCAACATAAATGCTACAATAGACAGGGAGAATAAATATACCCTCAACCTCACACAGGCATTTGGGGCAGATTACCATAATAAATAAGAAGTTTCTTTATATGTTACCTCTAGGAGAAAGTCAGTATCTTAACCAGAGAGCCCCAAAGCCAGGCTCTCTACCATTCACACAAACTGCTTTTTGTTTGGTTCTGTGTTCTGTGGTTGGACAGCCACAATTTTTATTCATCTCTTTATTTGTCTATAGTCCAGCACTTTTTATCAGTTCATGGTTATAACTGTTTATAGGGAGGAGATTTATATTTCTACTATTCCTTAAAGTGTTTCACATGTATAATGGCCCTCATATTCTTTCCTGGTGATACTGTTCTGCCAGTACTTACAAATAAAATGATAGTCTGGGAATATTGAAATGCAAAGTTGATACCCACAGGCTAGAAATGATGGACCTCCATTACTCCAATTGCCACTGTTCACTTCAAGACTGACTCAAGCATGGAGAAAGGCAAGACCTGTTTCCTGGATAAAGGTGTGAAGAGACCTCTCTACTCCTGTCTATTGTTGCTTTTCCAGAGATCTGATCAATCCCTATTGGAGAATAAAACACTGGCTAAGTGAGACAGGAAAGGAGTTGGTCTCTGTCTCAATGTTTCAGCATGCCATAGGAAGTATTTGCATGTTTCTTTATTTGTCTGTTTCATGGTATATTTCTGGCTAGATCTGCCTTACTTTTGTTTCAAAACCCACTCTTAGCCCCCTCTACCTTGCGTTAAGTGGTTAACAGTAAAGCTGGCAGTCAATAACAGAATAGTGGAACACTCAGTCTCTTGCCAAATCAAACTCTTTGGATTAATTTATCTCTATCAGTTAAGAAGAAAAGAGTAGGTGACAAATAGCCATCACTCCTTTCCCTAGGATGAGTATAAGGGACTAACTAGAGAAAATTTTATCGTTTGCCCAAGATTTCTCAAAATCAATGCCATATCTTATTATTGTCACTCATATAATCAACTATACTTTATCATATGTCACGCAAGATTGTGCTTTTTAGAATTATTTCCCAAACTGAGAATTGCTCTGTCATCAGTAATATAAAATGCGGTTATAACACCACTACAGGATTTGCAGGTGATTGACTTAGGTGTCCATCTTCTTGAAAGTCATTAATTGCTACCTCATTTGGGCATCAAATTCACATACTGCTTAAATTAAATCTTTGCACGTCTCTAGCCAGTGTTGCACAATGACTAATTAATTAAACCTCAGAACAGCCTTGGGGAATAGGCAGTTCTATTCCTCTCCCCTCAGATGGGAAATCTGAGATATAAAGAGGTTAAGTGGATTGTTTCAGGGCAGAAAGTCAGTCAATAGTAGACAGAACCAGAAAAGAGACTGGAGAATGCTGTGACCCAGATCTCTTCCCCAATGACAAAAGTAACTCCAAAGAGGCATCCCAGCACTTCCTAATACATTAATCCATATGCCTAGAGAAGCTTCTGTCTTTACCTTTTTAAAACTTGCTGTCTCTACAAGGTCTTTTGGTGGATATTTTCTATTCCTTTTGAAGGAAAAAAATTAGCTAGACAGAGGAAGGGGTAAAGCAATAGAATGAATAGATGTTACTCACCAACTGGTTTTTCAAAAAGGGAATTTAAGTTAAAATAATGAAGAAGAGAGAAACTCCAGTTGATGAATTATTCTTTTCAATATTATACGCATATATAATCATACACATATTTGACTTAGAAGCTAGGTCTTTTCCATCCCTTCTGCACCACCCCATCCCAATCCCAACCACTCATCCTTCCACACAAAAGCTGGCCCATAACAACACTATCAGAAGGAAAACTAGAAGCCTATTAATAACTTTATAATGGTTTATACAAATGAAAATGCCTGGCATGCTATTAAACTTAGACTTCAAAAGGCAATGGAGTAAAATAAAATATTATTAACAGAAAATTGAAAAAAAACAAAAAAGTTCTCTCAGGCACATGAGATTCGGACATGCATCTAAGTTTTCTTTTCCTTTTTAAAAAGTGAGGCAATCATCATCTTTAATGTTAAAGGGACTTTATGAGCTGTTGATTACTAAACAAAATTATTTGCTTTTTAGAGTTATTCTTAATTTATTTTTTAATTAGACCACATACATTAAAAACAGGGCAAACAGTTAAGACTCAGTGAGGATTTTCCGTGTTAAAGGTCTTAATGGTTTCACTCCATTAAAGCTGTAGCAGTCCTTTGCTTTTTGACTTGGACACTAACTAACAGTCCTGATTTATTTCCCATCTCTATAGATTTTAGGAATCTAACTTATTTCCATTTTCCACACAAGATGCAGCTCTTGTGGCTTAAGGTTTGAGACAAGAGTAGTTCATACTGGCTCAGGAAAGAACAGAATAAATAACTTCTCAAAGAAAGAAAAAAATTCTTCATTGAAAGACAAGAATTAACAGATAGAAGCCACACAGAAAATTCCAACACGGGGTATAACCGCTGCCCTCTTTTATTAACAAAGTGGTTATTTTCTGGAGCAATTAGAAACTGCTGTTTTGCCTTTCATGAGCCTTTCCTTCTCCAACTCATTGTCTTAACCTCTTACACTTTTGTTGCATAAATACCAAATACACAGGGGTATCAGGCAACCAAAGTGTAAAAATAGTTTCTTTTTAAGTTTAGGTCAGCAACGAGAACACAATTAACCTCCGAGGAAATACTTTTGCCTATGGAAGTTTGAATCTAAAGGCAAAATGCATCTTTCTCATTCTTTGTTTAAAAACAAATGTTAGAAAACATCGCTCCCCATATAACATTTGTTTTAAGAAGTTTACGTTACAAGAATTGATCTAAGATTTTTTTCTGTTACCCATACACTACAGATGGTAAAGCCAAAACAGCCTCAAGATGTGAGTTTTAAAAGTGCTTTTGAAATTTCTTTAGAAAGCTTTGGTATAAGAGGTAATTTAAAACAAATTAACAAATAATGTCATGCAGTGGTTAAATTGCCATAATACATTTCTTTTTTAGAGGTTCCTGGAATTTCTTGTTTGTGGTTGTCATGCTGATAGCAAGTTAGATGTTAGTCCCTTTAACTGTATTTTAATGGCAATGTATTATAGCATGATTTATCAACATATGGCAGGTGGAAGCTGACACAAATTATAATGAAAATTAAAACAGTCATTTATGCAGCAGGCGATTATCATTTAAGGAACATTTATTTGCAGGCTTTAAAAATGAGGGTTTAGAATCAAATGATTTTAAAATGAAAGTTTTAACGACGGTTACCTTTTTCCTGCAGCCACTCTTCTACGGGCCGGTTATATTTGAAGGGGATTTTCTGTTTTACCATTTGGAAGCGTTCATTATCAGTGTTGCCTTAAAAGTTTAAAAAACAGCTTAAAGAACAATCTGAAAAGTCAATAAGTCAATAAAAAACATCCTAGGTTTTTGGTGTGTTTTTATGAAGTTTTTAGAGAGAGATATCAATTTATCTTTAGTAGAGGTGGAGTCGAAGTCATTCTGCCCTTGAATGATAGGTTTGAGGTCAGGTTGGACTTAGCTATGGGGTTCTCCATCACATTTTAAAATATGGGGTGGGGATCAGTAGGAGACTTGGTATTGCATGGAAATGATTTTGTCTTCACTATTCACCATCTCACTTCAACCACATCTTAATTGGGTCAATTGAGGCACAACACTCTCCTTGACGATGAGTAATTCACCTGGCAGACCAGTCTCATAAGGTGGTAGGTGACCCTGAGTGCCTCATTCATGCATGATCCACTTTCATGCTACCCTATCAGAAGCATGAGACCATGTTCTTCTTTATTCTCCTCTTGAGCATTTGCACTTGTTCTACATTCTGGCAGAGGGAAACCAACAAAGACAATTTAAGCTTCGATGCCCTGGCATCCCAATAGGTTCGATAGTTAGGATATTACAGATGATTCTTTGTATCTCTATCTCTTTGTCCACGTTTGTTCCAGATTTTAAAAAATGAGAAAACTCAAAGTAAATAGCTATAAATATCAACTCACATATATCACTGTAAGTATAGCGATGTAACATTTGCAGACATTCAAGTACCTAGACTTTATTACTATAAATAGATGCAGATGTTATAGTTCATTCTTGATCTTGCTCCATTAGAGGTGCTTCATGAAAAAGCACCCATCCAGTAAGCTTGTTAGGGATACTCCTTTCACGCATAAAATATCTTGTTTCAAACCTCAAACATAATGCTTTTAACTGCTTATCGTCCCCCTTCATCAGTATAACTATAGTTACCACCCCTGTATGATTTCTTTAATTAGGACAGACTTGGAGGAGAGTGGTGTTGTAAAGATATAATGGATATGCTTCAAAATCACAAAATAATAGAACCATGATTTGGGAACTGTTCACTGTGATCAAGCAGAAACTACTGAAATCTAATATACTATCAATACATTTGACTTACAGTCCCATATTGAAACTTAGGGAATCCCATTCCAAATCACCAACATTAAAAATGAAACCAAACTCTCATAAAGCTGGCTTGGAAACCATTTAAAAATAAGACTAAAGGTCAGGAAGGACATTGGGATTAAATATAGCAAGTGAATAAAAGCTTGCACTAAGCATCTCAGTCTTAGTGCCATCTCTATATAGGAATTATTATTGACACAGAAGATTCCATATGTGACTGAACTAGAACCTGTCTTCTGTGAGGGTCATTGATGGGAAAGCGGTAGTAATATTGCAAGAAGTTTCCAAGATTCCCCAGTGATTTATCCTTTGAACCAATTATTCTAGGAAACTGACCATTTGTCTTCACTGTTCGGGAATAAAACAAAACCAAACCAATCAACCAACTAGCCATACAAAAACCCAACAAATTTCATGAAAGAGGCAACTACAGGGCCCTAACTGGATTGCAGAAAATATGTTAGCATAGCAAAGGAGAAAGTGCAATCAATGAAAAGAATAATTAACAATTTGGGATTGCAGAATATTGTTTAGTTTTTCTGAAAGCATAACATCTCACAGAACCAAAAGAAGGAGGGTACAGAAAGGAGACCAAATAAAAAGGTAAGTCCAATAAGCCCAATGTGAAAGAAGTTGGTTTTACCTATTAATTTAGCTACTGATTAAAGATCTTTATAATAATCTTTCTGGTAGGTAGGGTACTCAGAATTCTATGAATGTAAAATAAATTTGAGTCAATTCTCGCATAGAAAAGCAGTATGCACTTCTATGAAAAGAACCTATACCTCTTAATACTACCCTAGAGGAGACAGGTATTAAAAGGAATGTTATTCACCTTCATAAGCTTTTACCCTTCTCACCTTTTCATCACAACAGGCTATGAAATGTGAAATGGCAGTGGGTTGTGCCAAATTCACCTTGAAAAATATATTCTATTGTTTTGGGTGGTCTGTAAATGTCATTGTTGGCTATAACATTAAATATAGCAATGACCTATTTTATTCCCTGTGAAATGGATTAGTGAAGTCAGTAACAATTATAAAGCTAAATACGCCTGGTAATATGCAAAGCAAGCATCAAGAGTACCTAAATTTCCAAATTTCCAGAAAGTTCCAAAATTCCAAAATTCTAAGTGAACAAAATTAAGGAACTATGAAGTATATTGATTTATTTCCACAAAGACACAGGGCTCTTGATCTTCCTAAACATCCTCCAAGTCTTTCCACTCCATTTGCAACATACAGGCCCACAGAAAATCATTTCGGCACATGGTACAGGTTAAAAAAAGAGGAAACTACTCTGCATGATCATGAAGTGATAACTTGGGAGGACCGCATAGCCATGACTCAACCTTAGACCCTTCAGAAAGTGAGAATGAGTCATTCTTCTCCACCTCAGCTTTAAAGACATTTAGAAAAAGTTTTTAGTTTTCCACACCAGATTGACGGTATCTGGCTCTGTTAAAAGTTGTGAAAGATGAAAGGTCATTTGGAAAACCACACTGGTTTAAATTGCCACATTAACACTGTTCTTAGTCTCTTTTCATATTCTTGTTGGTTTTTATTTTAATTTATCTCAAACATTAGTGAGAACGATTTTAGAAACATGTGCATGAGAATGAGTTCATTGGCCCCGAGCCTTATTTGCTAGACTGACTGAATAGCAAACAACCTTCTCAATATAAGAATTCATACAGAGACTGCTATGAAAGCTGAGCAAACCTTGGCAAATTCATATACATTCATGATAACCCCTCAATAACATTCAGTTGTACATTTCATATAATAACCATATGAAAATTTAAACAAAGAGTGAAATCAATCTTCAACAGAAAGGGATGTTATCCTCAAGAGAGAATGGTCTTGTGAATAGTAATGCCGTAAAAAAGAGGCATATGCATATTACCACTTAGACCCCCAAAACAGTAATGACTGCAGTTCTCAAGCACACGAGAAATCTATGAATTGGCAGATTTTAAATTACTTAGATCTTCAAATAGGCAGATTTTAAATTACTTATATGAATTTGACACTCACATGGAACTGAGTTTTGGAAAAAATATCAGTCATATTTTATTCTTAAAGTTGTGTGTGTGTGTGTATGTGTGTGTGTGTAATCCTATCCATTTTTGATTATGGATTGTCATTTTTATAAAATTGACATCCTGTGATCAGTTACATTTTTACTATTGGTTCAATTATTGAGTATTGCAGCTCCTGGAGACATATACAAGATGCACTGTTGAATTATAAGGTTATAAAGAGTAAAATACTCTGAGATAAAATTATTAAGGCCTAACTGGTTCATACACATAGCTCCAACCTTTACGCAGAAATACCCATATCTCCTAATGGGGGGTAAATGCATTTTAGGAGAAGAGAATCAGAGAACAGAGGAAAGTATATATGACAAAGAAGGCAGGTGGATCTTTTAATAGTTCCCCAGAACACTAGTCCCTCTTTACAATGAGGATTTGAAATTTTTGATGGTTCTAATGGAGTAAAAATTCTTTCAATTGAAGAACTAGAAGATCCAAAGGACTCCAGCATAGCATAGAAAATAACTTTTACAATATCATTTTTATGCTTTATTGGTTCAACTGTTCTTATTCATTAGAAGTTATACTTAAAGCTATAATCAGTACAGCATAGGAGTTACGACTATGGACTTTGGAGACAAACCTGGCTTTACCATTTACTAGCTGTGTGACCTTGGCAAGTGACTTAGCCTCAGTTTCCCCATGCCAATTCATCATAGGACTTGATATAGGATAATAAGAATGAGGCCATGAACAAAACCTAAGATATAAGAAGGATTCAGTCTTTTTGGGGCCTCCCTGGTGGTGTAAGGGGTTAAGACGCAGCCTATGAAGCTATCTGTAGCCTCTGAAGCCACTGTAGCATGTGTTCAATCCCCAGCTAGGGAGGAGACCCACATGGTGCAGCAGACCTCTTCTGACTTGCCTGCTGCTCCCCTCAGCAGTGTATTTCAGTCAATCTGCCTGTTCTGTTCCCCACTCTGTCTCTGGTGAATCCTCTCATCCTCCACACCTCTGGCCTGTACCCCAGTTCTTATATGCATAAATAAAATAAATCTTTAAAAAAAAAAAGAAACATTCAGTTTTTTCAAACAGTTATTATATATATGATACAAAGGTGACAAAGGAAACACACATCCCACAGTCTACTCATCAGGCCTTCATTCAAAAGATACCCATATCACAATTGGTCCCATAAAGGTTTTCTTGCAATGATCAACTGACCATGGAAAACAAAACATCCTAAATATTCCCCAAGTCTCCTAGATGTTGCTTTTTATATTTCTGTATCTTCTAAAATATACTCCGCTAACCCCATTTTCCAAACAAAGTGGGTTTCTAAAACCACTGAAAGCAAAAGAGCAATTCAGGCATTGACAAATGTGATTTCTTGGTCCAGCCACAGGTAATGATGATATACTGCTGCAAACTTGAGGACAAGTGGCTTAAAGATTCTGGCAATTTGCACCAGTCTGGCTGAAAATGCTTTCTTGCAGGTAGACTATTAATACCACCTGAAATTTTATCAACCACGTGGACATGCTAATAGGAATACAGAACAATAATCATCTGTGGAAAATTAATGCCAGAGGTATTTTTGCATTTTGTTTTGAGTCCTGGAATAAAGGAAGGAAAAATTTTCTTTATTGCTTTGCTGACACTAAAAAATGAGACTGTGGGTCTAATGAACAGTCAAAGAATGAGTACTACGTATTAGAGCCAGAGGCAAAAGAAAATCGATATGGGTACACTGGAGTAGTGGGGAATTTTGGAGGTTCTTAAAATGTCTCTCTCCCCAAAGATCACTTGGAGAGTTTCAAAGCAAATATAAGACACTAACAAAAAGAAACAGGGAAACTCCCTGGGCTCA